TATCCAAATTACAGTATTTCATCAAATACACAGTTAAGTATCAAGGTGTCAAAACTTTATAACTATTTTACCAAAACGAGATAACTCTAAAGTATTTTATTGAAAAGTTATTTTAATGGCACTGTTACCACTCACAATACAAGCGCAAACCGTATCAAACTGACCCTAAACAACATTTTATTCTTTGTTGAAAAGAAAATAAGACTACTTGTTTCTAACTACATTCTCAGTAAGCCAGAGAATGTCCTGAATTTCACTTTCCAAAATCACATCAAAGGACAATCTTTCTATCACCAAATGTTTTATTAGTGAAAGAATTGACATGGTTACTTGAGGAACCAGCTAGGGAAAAGAACAAGACCCAGAAAATCGGAACTGACAGAGGGAGAACTTTCTCTTGTTATACACTCTCATCAGGTTTTGCATTTAGGATTGCAGTTACATAGAGAATTGGTCATTTGGTTGTCTGATTTATCAAAATTAATGGACACATTTGTTGCAGAATCCTGCATTTAGTACTCCTGCTTTGCTAATATAGAAATATTTTGCAGGAGAGGTTTGTCTGAGTCGGAAATAAGTTTTCTCAAGGAGGTATTTGTGAACTTTTCCTTGTATCTCATGTTTCTCTTTCTATTATTCAAAGATGTTATATTTTCTGTTTGTCGTTTCTTTAGCATGCTTGGTAATTTTTCTTGCTTAATGAGCTGTAGTAGAATGCTTGTGGCTTCCTTAATTTCTATAACGAGCACTAACAGATTCTTATGTCATATAGAATAAGGACTTGCGAAGCAAAATTCTTCAGGGGGGGGCAGGTCAAGAAGGTGTCCTTGGTAATAAAATGCTAGATTCTGATATATTAATGCTAGTTCCCTCTTGAGATTCTCTTAATTCCAGTTAGTTCATTCTTATGTGACCATTTAACTGCAGCTTTTGATAAGATCAGAAGGCCATTATATCAGAAGCATCCAATGGCAAAATTTGCCTGGACGATCACTGAGGATACAGATACGGTTGGCATTCTTGCCTTATAATTTTTTTTTTGAAATATATTCTTGTCTTACATTGAATTGGATATGAAATATATTCTTGTCTTATAAAACATTGAATTAGATATCCTGCCAAATCTATTTAAAATTGTTCATGTTGCTTTCATTTAGTACAATGTGGATCTGTTGGTCTTGTTGCCAATCTTGTGCCAAGAAGGAGTTTGTTCTCATCAAAACAAGTATTATTAGATAATTAGTGGTTTGAATACAGATATGTAATGATTGTTGTATAAAGTTCTCAAGGGGATCTGTTAGAAATTACAATGGTGGATTCTGTTCCTTTGTTGTAGAGAATCCTAAAGGACATAATGTTCTCAAGGGGATCCACTAGAAATTGGAATGGTGGATTTTGTTCCTTTGCAGCTGTACATTGTAAGGGAGCAGATCTCTATTATTTGTTTTAATTTTATGTGGTTCAATTTGGCCGATTCTTCTAGTCCTAATTGGCCCAATATAGAGCCCATTTGTTTTAGGCCTGCAGATTTCATATCAAACTAACTATGGCAAGAACATAAACTTCATAGAGAATCAGTTATGTAATGATTGTATACTACGTTTCTTTTCTTTGATATTTTAAAATTCATTTTTTTCAATAAAAGAATCATAGTTTTTCACTATTGGTACTGTCTTTGTTAGGCCCGATCTTCTTACTATTAGGTATTATCACTTGATTAAGTTCTGCAAGTACAGAAAGTCTTGTATCTTATGCTACAATATGCGGCTTAATTATTTATAATTTGATGTAATGTTTTATGAATTCTGCCTTGGACCTTAATATCAGGCGGAGTGGTACAGTGCTTGCATGGATGTTCTGACAAATGTTGAGAAGGTATTTCAAGGTAAAACAGGTGCTGATATCATTCAGAGCAAAGTTTTACAGGTATATCTTTCGCTTTCACTTTTTAGACCTAAGCTGTAGAATGACAAGCTTTCCTGAGTCTTTTGAGGAAACATTTTTCGGTGGTAAAATTTTCTATTCTTTTTTCAAGTTGCTGAAAGGGAAGAATGAAGACATGAGGCTTATCATTGAAAAGGAACTAAAGTCTGGGGACTTGAGCAATCTTCATGCGGACTGTCTTACAGATACCTGGATTGGAAAAGACAGGTCCAATCTCTCTCTCTTTCTCTGTGTCTCTAACATGTGCAGTTTGTTTACACATACAAACATGAAAAACACAATGAGGACTGATATTTGTATACTCTAGGTGGGCATTTATTGATTTAACTGCAGGGCCTTTCTCATGGGGCCCTGCTGTTGGTGGAGAAGGAGTTCGCACAGAAATAAGCTTGCCAAATGTGAACAAGACTATTGGTGCTGTTGCAGGTACCATTCATTCTCTTTCATAACAGTTATTTTCTTGTTTATGTTCTCAACAATCAAAATGGTGAAATTTTGGTGTCATAGAATATTATTTGGAGCCTTCACTACTTACAATTCATATGGCAATAATTTTTGTTATTTTCTACCAGTACAGTCGCCCAGCTGCCATGTATTATAAAAATGTCAGAACCCTTGCTCATGATTCTGATTTGTGAGGTGAGTATTTTCTGGTTTGAGAGAGAGAGAGAGAGAGAGAGAGAGAGAGAGAGAGAGAGGGAGAGAGAGAAAGCAGAGAAGCAGAGATCAAGAGAGACAGAGAGAGATAAAGAGGGATTTCGGTTAATTTCTTCAATGCCTTCATTCGTAGAATCCTTGCCTTATAGGCTACATATGGTAGGGAAAATGAGCAGGAAAAGGGAAAGCAGGAACATCCTAGGCATGGTTGCAACAGCCAAAAGGCCGGCGGGTAGAGGTCACCATTGACCGTTTTCTTAGTTTCACCATTGCAACCATAATCCTAATTTGTCACGGTGGGAAAGCCCCTTTTACTCCTGTGAGTACATTTTCCTTTATATCCCTTTTCTTGTAATATCATTGGTTTCTTGAAAATACCCTCCCCTTGGATATCAGAGAGAGGAATGTCTTACAACTGACAATCTTCAACAAAACTATTGAAACTCCTCATACTTGCAGCAAACCAATTGGTCCACAGATTGTTGACAGGATTCTTACGAACACTCATAATTACCTGCCAAGAAACCCAAAAGAGACCCCTTCACATGTGAATGATATCAATCTCGGCCTTGTGGGGCCATACATGCAATTAATACACCAATTGCCCTACCCTCAATATTGAGTAACACAGAGGATGACCCAGTAGAAATTGAATTTACCTCATCTGTAATGGTCTTCTTGATACTTACCATGCATGTTATTCTTCTGATGAAAGTTACATAGTTTCTTGTCTCAATTTCAAGTAACTTGTGTTATATTTGCTTGTGGTGCTTGCTTTATTATTTTCACAGATTAAAATATATTAGATAACAGATTAAAATATTTTAAATGTATCAGTATATTTTGTTACTAGGATCACCTTCAGCAGGATATCTTGTCTGCTGTTTTTTCTTTGCTCCCTTTTCATTCTTAATAATATTTCTTTTTCTGTCAAAAGAAAAATAAATAAATAACCACACCACCCATGATGCAAAACATTAGCATCCTCCATTGTGTTGTCCAATAATATATTGTTTATCATGCATTATAGCTTTCTATACTGGTTCTGTTACTCTCTACAGACAGTTTCCTTTTTCTTTCTTTTTGTGGCAAGCAGAAATATCAGAAGATGAAGCAGAAGACCATCTGCAGGATGCAATTCAGGAAAAGTTTGCTGTATTTGGAGATGTATGTGCCATAAGTTGAAATAAGAACTGTTAAATGCTAATATCTTTTTTGCCTCCTTTTTATTAACAATGAACATGAAATCAGTTGAACATCGGGTCAGGGAGGAATGATCTACTTATCTCTACCATAGGAAATTTATGAATTTCAAAGATTTGATACTTTGTAAAGAAAAAAGAAATCAGAGGCTTTTGTTATCTGTCTGGTTTTCTACTTTGATAATCGTGTTAGTATTTTTGGGTTTGGAACCTGATAAATTCATTTGGCAGTTATCTTTGGGAAGGTTTAAATGTGTCAAAAGTGGAAGATGCTCTAAAGGTTCTAAGTATGCAAGATGCAAAAGTGGCATGCTCAAGAATGAGGTGCCACTATAAGAAACATATTACAATATATTTGAAACATACTTTCTTGTGAGTTTTAAACATTCTTGTTAATCCAGCTTAGGGTTTTGAGTCCAATAGAATAAGTTAAATGCACGAATGATAATATTTGGAACATAGAAAGTAATGAGGTACAGTTCCAAGTAATCTGATGCTACGTATTGTTAATTAATACAGAGAAAGAGGGAAAGTGACTCTTTGGAAAAAAAAAAGGGGCAAAAGAGGTACTTTCATAGAGGACAAAAGCACTGAAGGGGGAATAAAGAATGAACTGGTCCACTTTACTTGGCCTTAGTTTCTTGTTTTTTTTTGAGATAAAAGAGTAGGAAAATATATTAGAGTAGACACCATGGGGGTGTCGTCCATGTACAAAAGATTTACAAATCTAAGAGTATATCTACAATAAAACCAATATCATCAAGGTTACAAAGGTGATGTCCCAATAAGGTGGACCCAAAAAAGTGAAACCGTTTGTCCTTGATGTTTCCAAAAGTATTCTCTTTGTCTTCAAAAGCACAGTTGTTTCTTTCTTTTCAAAGTATCCAAAACTTAGTTTCTTGTTTTTTTTTTGGAGATGAAAGGGAAGTGTCATTAAAAGCCACTAAGGGTACGCCAGCCACATACGAAGCATATACAGAATTTCAACAAGGTTCAAAAAGCTGCATCATCGAGAATAAGATGTCTTGGAAACAAAACTTCAGGATTTGGAATCAGAAATCTCTAATTTTGTCAAAGGGGGAGACAGTTGCCTAAAAATTCCCCTGTTTCCTTTTTTCTTTCCAAATAATTCAAAAAATAAGACATTGAAATAAAATAAGGAATTTCTTTCTTAGATTACAATCACAAATGCCCAATTTAGCCCAAAGTTCACTGGCAATGGACTTGAAGTAACCTAACACAATAAGGAGACCTAGAATAGAATCCTCCAGTCTTCTAGCCTCCAAACACCATAGAAGATTATTGGGGGATTCTTACTCATGAAGGCATAAGGGGCAACCATTTATAATGATCCTACCTCTTCTCCTCAAGTTATCCATGGTCGAGATTCTTTTCCATGCAGCTTCCTTGACCGAAAAAGCAATTCTGAGAGATTCTTTACTTTTGTAGATCTCTTCTGAGCAAACCTAAAAGTCTCTTCATTGTGGTTGTGCAAAAGGTTGTAAATGACTTCACAGAGAATTTCCTATTTTTAGACAAGGGGCAACTGCAGCCAATCGTCCTTGGAAGGTTCAACCTGGCACTTGGGAAGATAAACCATCAAGTCCACAAATTCTATAAACTTTTTATCATTGAGGTTTCTGGAGAGCTAAATATTCCAAACAACCTGGTTAGCCAAGTTAAAATGCACAAGATCATTACTGCAATATCTTTTTACGTGACTAGTGAATAACAAAGAGAAATATCTTCTCAAGGATCTATTAGCACACATCAATCATCCCAAAAACCCACCTACTGTGCTACCAACCTTGAAACCCAACAAGTTTCAGTATAAGACCTCAATGCTAAGTAATCTATCTCGACAAGCTGATGCAATAGGGGTCTCTATTTGTACTGGTCATCCTGTCGCTTTCTCCAGTTCCCCGAGTGCTTTGCCACCTGCAGAGGGATTGGAAACAAAGATAAGGAATAAATTGGAAAACTAGACAAAGTACTTTTGATGATGGTGAGTTTGCTATCTTTAGGAAGATACCCCCCTTTCTAACTACTAGCCAATCTTCTTTTATCTTTAACATTACATGACCTATATGTTACAATCTTTAAATTTGACTCCGAGAGGCAGCTCAAACTATTTTAGGGGGTAGAATATGGATCTTTTAACATTACATGATCCCATACGTTACAATCTTTAAATTTGCTTCCTCGAGGAAAATGCAAATAGTTTAGAGGGAGAGTTCTGACTTTACACCCAAGAACCACTGTATTGGTTTGAGCTCCTTCCTATAAGTCACCAATTCATGTTTCTTCAAAATTATCCTTGGACCCGAAGCCAGTTCAAAACACACAAGGAAACATATGAGATGAAGTACTTTGCTCTAGTATAGCTTGCAAAACAAAAGAGAACCCTTAATGAAAATGTTTCACCTCCTTATTCCTTTCTTGGTTCAAACAATTAAACAGTTAGCCTCTCTTGCCTTTAATAACATTCTAGGAAAGTCTCTGTCATCATAATGAAGAGAAGGGGCAAAGAAGATTTTTCAAAGGGCCTTACCATCCTTATTTTATTGTGAAAAAGGAAGTAGCCAATAGAAACAGAAATGGGAATGCCTCCACGAGTTATTGCACCTCAACACTCATGGAGAAGTTTTACTGCTCAAGATAAGAAGTTGGAGGTGGTGAAGGAGCTGCTACATTGCTGTACAAGATCGAGAGTCGAATGGGTTAATAATTTTGTCTGAAGAGTTGTGTGAGCAAAGAAATAATTTCTATGTGGAGGATTGTGTTCATGAAGACAAACTAAAAGAGTGTTTTTGGTCTAAGTCTTATTAAGACTCCTAAATGTGGTGTTTTCAGTAAGGATAGCCTGAACTTCCCTGGAAGGTTATCTGGAAGATGAATCTCCTGGTCGAAGTTGCTTGTTTTTGTGTGGGAGTAGGAAATAGCATTTTTCTATTTGTTTTGAGGGGGTTGGCCTGAGGAGGATGCATAGAGCACTATTCATATGTTTTATGGTTACTGCCAACAAGACACGTTTGGGACGTGACTCTTCCTAATTTTGTTTTCCCATGAGTAGTTGTCATATTGTTTGGTACTGTATGTGGGTTAGAATTGATTGACGTAACTTTCAATGGGAAGAGCAAATAAGTGACATTCGAGGACTTTCTTATGACCCTTTATTCTTGGCTGGAGGACATCATTCACCCCCTGGATGTTTAGGATGCCCAATTGTGGAGTTTGTTGAATCATTGGCAATACTTAGCTTTTGTTCTTTGGTTGCATCCCTTGCCAACATTTTTTGGAATATAACGTTATATATCAAAGTAGATAAATCTATACTCATGAA